GGTTTTGCTGTTGAGGTCAGGGCTTCAGATAGAGATGGAACCCAGAGCTCTGTAAATTGCTTTATTCGATGGTCTGTTCAGTTATGATAATAAATGTCTGAAAGGTGATAGTTGACTCCGATTATTCTTCATAAAAGAACACGCTGTACATGCTACAATCAGCATCACCAGCTGGCTGTTACCTTTTACTTTTGGCAGGACATGCGGTGCTTTATTCAGCCATAATCGGTTATGTCTCAGGGACCATTTTCTAAGAATTTTTTCTAGGAGACTTTATTTTCTATTGGTAATTACACTGCTGTTTTGAGGACGTTAGCATTCTTCACCTCTTTAGGCTAGCTTGGGCTCTACTTTTTAATTCTACAGGATTTCAGTAGACATAGCTAAGACTCAGGTGAAGGAGGATGTGAGGGTAATACCACATGCTTTCCTCTTACCAGAGATATTTTTAAGGCTTTTGTATTGTTAGATTCTAACCTTTTTGTTAGAAATTAACCCAATTCTTTTGTTGGAAGCACGAGAAGTGAAGACAGGAGAGGACTGTTTAAAATCAACAGAAAGTTTACTGAAAGTCTGATTACAAGTGTTACAAGGGTAATTTCTTAGTCAGATAGATATTGATTAGATACTTGTTGTATAGGAATGTTTAGTGTAGACAGGATGTCTAATTCAGGCTGTTAAAAGCTTACTCATTTCCATGAGCTACTCCAGGTTGTTTATGTTCAAGGATAACTAGACAGAAAGTGGCTACTGTATGATATGTTCAGCCGTAATCTTAATCATAATATCTTCCGAGGCTTAATGTCCGGACATGTCGCTGAATGTCCTGTATGTATTTAGATATACACCTCTTAATCAACACTCACACACATTGATTTTCTTCATGTTTTGACTACTCCTACGGTCAGCTGTAAAGCTGGCATATCAGGTGACGTCACGGTTTGACGTGCCTGTGTAGAATGGGGTTAGCCCAACCAAGTGATAAAATGTATAGGCTATTATGGTTCAGGGTCTTTCATTCTTCATCTGCCTGCGCGCAGTATTGGAGGTGGAAGGTGCCTGGACGTGTAATGTTAATTTTGCCTGTGATTCTTTGAATAAACCAGCACGGTTTTTTTATATATCCAAGTGGTCCGCTTCATCTCTCTGAGTTCCTGGTTACAAGAACTGGGAAATATCACTTTTAAACTTGGAGTATTGAGCCAAACAAACGCACACAGAATTTGCCTCAAAGGTATATAAGCTCTGTTTCTTTTACAAAGCTCCTTCCGGCTCTTTTAAACCAGGAACTCACAAAAGACGAAGTAGACCACTTTAGATTTTATAAAAAATAACCGTACTTGTTTATTCAGAGGATCACAGGTAAAATTAACATTACACATCCAGATCTCTCCCACCACCAACCTGCGCGCAGGCAGCTTGGAAGATGAAAGACCCTGAACCAAGAAACCTATACAATATTAATCATTTCGGGCTAGCCCCATACTACGCAGGCACGTCAAACCGAGACATCACCTGATATGCCAGCTTGCAGCTGACCATAACAATAGTCAAAACATGAAGAAAGTTCAAGGTGTGTGACTGTTGATTTGTGGTGTGTATCTAAGAACAATTTGACATGACATTTCACATTAAGACAAATATTAAGATTAGCATTACAGTTAATAATAACAACCATCCTTGCCTGCAGCCTTTGTATGACTTAATTAGCCTTGGCCTAGATGCAGTCTGCAAGCGCATGAAAATGAACTGAGCATTTAACAGCCTGAGCTAGACATCCGGTCTCCACTAAACATTTCTAGACATCAAATCTCTGAATATCTATCTAACTAAGAAATAACCTAATAGGTACACCAAATTAATATTTCAACATGGCCTAACTGTTAAATGTGATGACAAAATCTAATTCTAGAGTAGAGGTTGTATATTTACTGAAGTACAGTACTTAAATACAATTTTGAGGTAGCCTACTTGTACTTCTATTTTCTGCTACTTTATACTTCTCTCCCTACACTTCAGAGAGAAATATTGTACTTTTTCTTACATTTACAGTACATGATAGCTACAGTTACTACTTACTTTTCAGATGAAGAGGAATAAATTATCCAACATTCACAAATAGCTAATAAAACAAATATTGTAGTAGTTTTAACAAACCAGATGGACGAGTGTAGGATTGACCTGCAAAAAAACCACAATTCCCATGACTCCTCTGTGCACATTGTCACACCTAACGCCATGATGTCTGCAGCATATTCGTGTTGTCTTTGTACGAAACGACGCCGAGATGTTTGAGTGGACAAGTCATAGGTAACCTTATATCTGCATCTTACTGCATTCATACAGATAAATAGGAGCGTGTGTAAAGGGGACTCGTAGGAAATGAGTGAATATTTAGCGTCTTTGGCGACGTAACGGACCAGAAATTCTGGCAATTTCACACAGATATTACCGCAAATCAGTGAAATTAGGCTAACTAGGCTAACATAATATATTTGTTGTGGTAGGTGGTTGCTACGAAGATTTTTCAGGAAATTTATCAGCATGTTAAAAGTCTGACCCAACGCTGTATTTAAATAAAATTAAATGTTGAATTTGGGTTAGTCCACAGCCCCAAGAGGCCGTCCTCCATTGCCTTTTGTAATACAAATCTTTTAAGCTCATTCATTCTCTGGGTTCACAGCTGTCGCCTTGTGGAAAACAAAGATGCGATTAAAAATCAAAGACCCATTCCTTATGAAATAAGCTGGATTATGTGATTTGTATATCCAGTTAGTGTTCATATAGTTGATTGTGTAATTAACGTACACGTGTGTTTTTTGTGGGAACGGTTTTCATAGAAACATATGAGCAAGTGCATATTAGAAGCCAGGAGGCAGGGAGCCATGCAGAGTCCTACCCAGGCAAACAGCGAGTCGAAGCCCGGTACCACAGCAACCACAGAGCACCCGCTGGCCTCTCTGACTGAGGCACAGCCAGCACAAAGTGAATCGGATGCAAAAGAGAAAAATAAGTCATTGGCTCCTGGGGAGACTGAAACAGTAATCACATCACTGGAAAATAAGACTGGGGTGCAAACAGCAGAAACACCTGCAACTGCGGGAGTCACACAAGCAGTGGAGAATGAGACCCCTGTTCAAGCACCAAGAGAGACCTCAGAAAACACCGCCACAGGGATGCAGATAGACTCTGCTTCAAAGCCAAGTGCTTCCACAGAACCTGATGCAAATTTGAATCCTGGTTGTGATGGACAAAAGGCAAAAAAACAGGATAAAGTTGTACGTGATGGTAGGAAATATGTTCCTTCCAAGAAAGCCATGATAGATCCTTTGAAGATGGACATGTCCAAACCACTGGTTATCCCTCTAACATGTGAGTATTTTTCTATATATATTCAATGCTATCTTTCTTAGCAAGGCTAGAAGTGAGAGATCTG